CTCTGAAACTTCCCAGCACACAACACCTGCCAGGCACGTAAACTATCTTGGCATAACCACATTCCTTTGTCTTACAGTTTAAAAGAGCTTTTATCCTTCCAATATGAGCCTTGTTCTGGAGACACTGCCACTGAATCACCTCGTCTATCCCTACGTATTGCTGCAGGATTGGTTTAATTCTTCCTATGCCGTCCCTGATGTGGTCCTGGGGTGGGAGGGACAAGCCTAACTCTTATCCTGCACACGTGTTGGAGAGGTGGCTAGTGTGAGTTTCACTAGTGTGTATAAATGTCAGTTTGGTTCCTCTCCCCCCGCTCCCCATTTATAACTCCTACTAAATTTATTTCTGTCCATCCCTGCAACGAAAAAAGCCATCCTGTCCATAGTCCGTTAATCCGACTCTAGAAATGAGTCTCTGCTGCTTTTTTGCTTTCTTCTGAGGAAGCTGACAAAACATGAAGACTCTCAAGAAGAAAGGGTGAAATAAATCCCCAAGAGAAGGACTCTTCACCCTTCTTCCTTTCATCCTTTTTTCAATCTATAAACTTCATGGATACATTGCTGGATACCCAGAGTGGGCTAGAACGAGAGGGCAAGCCAGAAACAGCCTGTGACAGCTGTGTGCGTTGGGGGAAGCTGGGCCTAACTGGAATACACTGCAATCTGTGAAAGGGTCTAATACAGAAGATAATCTCTCTCTTTATGAGGATTTACTATACCCTTTATTTGCTCTCTATCACGTTGGTACTCTTCCATTACCCATAATCCATTTCTCTTTCATGTCAGCCAGGATTGGCAGATCAGCATTCCAGGTCAGATCCCCTGATGATGTGAACTCAGCATTGGGGAATGTAACACTGATTACAAAAATAGTTCCGGCCGAAGTGGTATCACCATCTAGGCATCCCAGAGAGAGTGAAATGAAGCGTGAATCCTAGTTGAGTGTGCTATTCCGTTTTATTAATCTTTTAAAAATACTGACACAACATAAGACTATTGTTGCAGCAGCAAATTGTAGAGAACAAAATATCCTTGGGAAATGTAGGTTAATTCTCTGATCTTTTGCCTGTGGAGGCCTGTGTGGTTTGGGTCCTGTGAGAACATGGTAGTGCCAGCCTAGTTTCTTGTGGACATTTATTTGTCCACATTACAAAGGCAGCAGCAAATGTAGCATGATTCCTGGGGGGAAACCCCAAGAATGTTACAACAGAGGATGCTGTAGGTCCAAACTGAGGTTCGTTGGCAGGTGGGTCAGGGCTAGAGTTGTTGTTGAAGCTTTTGTATATCACTTGCCTGCAATTCTGCTTGATGAAGCAGTTTAACAGGCACTAATCCACCCAGGCCTGATTTCCAGAGGTGCTAAGCACCCACAGATCCCATTGGCTTCAACTGGAGCTCTGAGCACGTGGCACTTTTGGAATTTAGCCCCACAAGCGTTAGATCTCGATCAGCAGAGTTCTTTTTTTACTGTGGAGAGCAATAGGAAACACTGCTCTACAGCCAAAATGCTTCTGAAATAAATGTAGTCAAACGTTACTAATTCTGGGTCACTGAGAACGAAAATGATGCTTAAAATGGTTGATTGGCTCTAGTTTTCAAGATGTGCTATTGGGTCAGTATATACGACCCTTGACTTGGGAATGGCGGAGGATAAGTGAGTTATAAAGGGAAGGGATCTCAATTTAAACCAGAAATGACTAAAATACATCTTTGACTGGATCTATGAATAAATCTATGACTGGGTTTGGACAGTACTTGCTTTTTAGGCAAAACAATGAATGATGCAATCTGAAGCTGGTATTGCGTCATACATGATATGAATTGCATCATGTTATTCCTAGAAGTCATGGATGATGCAATCATAACGAAGCTTACATCACTCTGCTGAACAAATTGCCCTATATCAGCTCTAGAAATCATACAGTGTCGTGCTCTCTTATTTGTCAGTGTTTGATTTTGCAAAGGGACACATTTCTGTTTAGCCAAAGTGAGCAGAGATGCCTCGTACTTGTGTGAACAGTGCAGATAACTTCCGCTATGTTTGTGGTGAAGTGACTTTTGCATCACAAAAGCACAGTATAACTAGCCACTATGGTTAAGAAAGCCTATCACCTTTATTTTGGCTGCAAAATTGGAGATCAGGACAAGAGGTGGGCCCCACACATATGCTGCAACACTTGTGCAACAAATCTTCGCCAGTGGTTGAACAGGAAAAGGAAATCTATGCCTTTTGCAGTGCCAATGATTTGGAGAGAGCCAACAGATCATCCCAGCAATTGTTACTTCTGCGTGGTGCCTCCAGTTGGGAAAGGTGTGTCAAAGAAGAAAAAGTGGACTGTGCATTATCCAAACATTCCATCAGCTATACGTCCAGTACCCCATGGAGAAGGACTGCCAGTTCCTGATGCACCAGAATCATTCTCACTTGAGTCAGACGAGGAAGAGGATGAAACTTCTGGTCCTGAACCATCAATGTCACAGGACCCATATTTTCTCCCATCCTCCTCCTCTGAACCACACCTCATAACACAAGGTGAACTGAATGACCTTGTCAGGGATTTGGAACTACCCAAGAGTAAGGCAGAGCTGTTGGGCTCCAGACTACAGCAGTGGAATCTCCTGGCAGGTGATGTTAGGGTTTCCATGTTCCGTGACCGTCAAAAGGACCTTGTCCCATTCTTCTTCATGGAAGGTGATCTTGTAGCCTGCAACAACATCGATGGTGTGATGGCAGCCCTCAACATCGTTCACGATCCAGATGAGTGGAGACTGTTCATTGATTCATCGAAGAAGAGTCTTAAAGCTGTTTTACTGCATAATGGCAATGTTTTGCCATCAATTCCAGTTGGTCATGCAGTCCATATGAAGGAAACCTATGACAACATGAAACAACTTTTGAGGTGCATAAACTATGACCAACATCAGTGGCAGCTTTGTGGCGATTTGAAGATTGTTGCTCTCTTGCTTGGTCTGCAGACTGGATACACAAAGTACTGCTGTTTTCTCTGCGAATGGGATAGTCATGCAAGAGATTCCCACTACATCAAGAAAGATTGGCCACTCCGACAGTCATTGGAGCCTGGGAGAAAAAGTGTTCAGCATCCACCACTTGTTGAATCAAGGAAGATTTTGTTACCACCCTTACACCCTCAAGCTGGGTCTGATGAAGAACTTTGTCAAGGCCATTGACAAAACACAAGCAGCTTTCAAGTACCTCCATGGAAAATTTCCAAGGTTAAGTGAAGCTAAGATAAAGGAAGGTGTCTTTGTTGGTCCTCAGATTCGTGAACTTCTTTGAGATGATGCATTTGACCATGCACTGCGTGGCAAGGAAAAGACGGCATGGAAAGCCTTCCAGTTAGTGGCAATAAATTTTCTCGGAAACAACAAGGCAGACAACTACAGGTTGTTGGTGGAAAACCTCCTCAAGGCATACAAAAGCCTTGGTTGCAACATGTCACTAAAGATACATTTTTTGCACTCTCATCTAGATTTTTTTCCACCGAACTGCGGAGCAGTGAGCGACGAGCACGGCGAGCAATTTCACCAGGACATTGCAACAATGGAGAAACGCTATCAGGGCAAATGGAGCCCATCAATGCTTGCAGACTATTGCTGGACAGTGACAAGAGATACTCCATTTAATTAATACAAGAGACAAGCCAAGAAGCGCCGAGTAGACACTGAATAGGACTAAACTATGTACATAATAGTTTTTTGCCTTTTGTTTCATAATAAATTTTATTTATATAACCCTTTTGCTGATTTTTAAAGTGTTACATAAACAGGACAGGTGAAATATTATCATGTAAAGCAACCATAAACACATGAAAAGACCTAGGTTTACAATTTATGATTAAAACTCTACTATCTACACAATATACATAGACATAAAATGTAAAAACTTAAATATCTTAGAAACAGTAGCCAATCAGTTGTTTTAATTGTCATATTTGAATTCAGCACATCAAAATACATAATAAATAGCACATTTTATCTCTGAAGCAGACAACTTCTCAAAAATTGTAGGCCAGTGAAATAGATGGAGATGTGCTGAGCTGCAGCTGTGTTTAACCTGTGGCACTAAGTTTGGAATTTTCTCAGCTTCTCTGATGCCTTTCTTTGGTGCTTAATGATATAAGCACTTGATGACATTGCTAGTGGGGTTCCTAATGGCTGCAATAACAGGCATCAGAATCAGTATTACGATACCAGGACTGTCATTGTTGGGACTGTGATTCCCAGTCTCTTGTCTTTCCATACACAGCTTTCCCGTTTTCACCTGCCTGGTCGAGGTTCAGAGGTGTAGGTTCTTCCACTGAGCGCTGCTTTTAAAATAGCCCTTGGAGCTGCTGTCTTTGAGATGGACTGTTTTGTCCCATGCACAATCCTTGCGGTTTGCTGGGGTTAGGGGGAAGCAGTGAACCTCTTATCCAGCATCCTCCCCAACTCCCACAGTCCCACAAATTGTTCATTCAGGTTTCTTCTGCAGTCCCAGTTTTGTCACATACTGACAGGAAATCAGGTCAAGTCCAGAGAAAAACACATTTGAGGCTTGAACCTGATGGCCTTGCAACAGGGAGCTTCCTCCGGCAGGAGTGTCCCTTTGTCTTCCACATTTGAGACACTCCTTATATAATGGTGCACGCTTCAGTCCCCATGGCAATGGCTTCCCTGTCCCTTCTTGAACAGGGGTCCCTGTGCCTGGTCTGACACAGCTCTGGCCTTTGCAGCTACATTATTCTTGTTCCTCTCTCAACCAAGACATGTAACTTTTTGTTAGCATCCTTTGGCCAAAAACATTAACCAGGGCCCACTTTGGAGTATTGCTCCTTCTCCATTTCAACCCATAGGGGCTAATATGGTAATGGCATCAGGTCCTCTCTCACTTTATTCCCCTTTGGCCCTTCTCACCCCACTGCTCCTTGCTCTGAATTTGTTTGCAAATATTCAAACCCAGTTCATCAGATTCATTGTTTGTTTACTGGCTTGTTCCTTAGGTCCTAATGTCAATGGATTGGAGGAGCCCAGCCTGGCCAAGAGGCTGCGTGGCACGCCTGAGCGCATTGAGCTGGAGAATTACCGGCTGTCGCTGCAGCAGGAAGAGGAACTGGAAGAGGTTCCCGAGGAGACCCTGGCAGAGCATAACCTGAGCAGTGTATTAGACAAAAGAACAGAAGAGGATGTACCCAGCAGGTTAGCACACATTGTACACGTGTCCCTATATCCACCCCAGCAGGCTTGTCTACTTGCTCTCATAGTGCCCTTTCCCATACGCTTTACTGAGGCTCCCCTTTCTGGAGACCTGATAGCCTCATCCGCACTTCAGAGAGGTATTTTATACTAGAGTTTCTGTTCTAAACCCCTATTTTGAGTCACTTAATAGTGTTTTGAAAAAGTTATTTCTTGTACTGAAATTTCTCATGCTCAGTCTTGACTCAGAAAGGAATTTACTTTTTGGAAAATTTCATCTATAAACAACTGAGTCATTTGGGTGAACAGAACATGGGGTCAGAGGGGAGTGTTTTTTCAAAAAGTTTTTTTCTGCCTATTTTGCGCTCTGATAACTGAAAACCATTTTTGGTTTAAAACTTCAAGTTGGGCAGATACTTAGCCATGATTGAGTGCCTTTGTGTCTGAGAGAGCTTGGCTTGAAGTAATAGCTATGGATAGCGTAAAACAGGATACACCACATGCATGTATGGTCATTTCTTCAGCTGCAAAACGGTACACCAGAGTGCTAGGGGCTCAGTGCTCACAAGTGTGGGCAAATGTGTCTCAGTAATTCCTGCAGCAGCAATTCAGTTTGATAAGGGATGAGCGGAACCTTTGCAGCCTCAGCGTCCTCCAGATAGTGTGGCTCTCTTACTTACTGTGGGCGCTGCTCCATACCCTTTCATTGCAGCGAGAACTCTCCTGAACTGTTAACTCTTTGGCTGTGCAACAGTTCTTACATTCTTAAAATTGCCACTGTAAACTCAGATAATGATATAGCTGATGGCTAAAACCCAGATCTTACAATACAATTACATGCATGCTTAACTTGAAACATGTGTAGCCCTGAGTGTCTAGTTGCCTACCTCAATTATACAGGTGAAACTGACTTCAGCTGGGCTACTCAAGAATGTAAAATTAAGCACATTCATAAGTCTTTGCAGGTTCAGGGCCTGGGTGCATTCTGGGGTGAGCAAATGACAGGAGTCCCATAAGATGCAAATAGAAGAGGCAGCAACTGGATATTTGACACTATCTAGCCTTACTAGTCTTCAGTAGTCCTGATGCATCCTTATCTTAAAAGCTCTGAACAGGTTTGAACTAGGATGAGTAAATACTTGGTGTCATGTGCTGTTTCCTTTACTAGAATAATGATGGTGTTTATTAATTATTTTAGGAAGTTCTCAACAAGATCTTATTTTGATATAATTTATTTATTTGAGGTGTTGTCTAGTGACCTAGTTGGATGTTCTCTGCAGTTTAATGTGCTAGACTTGAGATACGTTCATATTCTCTGTCCCTCTCCCAGCCCACTGCTTAGATATAATAAATAATGTTGCTATTGTTAATATTAACACGAATAATAATATAACTGTAGCTTTTATAGTACTTATTAGATCTGAAAGTACTAACCAAAGTTCACTAGCCTGGAGCTATATTATTATTGGCCATGACTTCATCAGGTCACATAAATTAAGAATAGTTGGACCTGGTCAGTACTTGGATCGGAAACCTCCAAGGAAAAAGGAGTCAACGGAACCAAGTGTTATCTTTGGCATCTCAGACTTCAGCTGCTATTTCACCTCCTCCAGATCTGTGCACACTTTTCTCCCTCCCTCCTCCGCACCCATTTTTTATTTAGAATTCTATCACTCTCCCCTTTTTGTATGTTGACTTACTTTTGTATTTTTTAATTTAAGCTTTCTCTGGGGGAAAAAAAAAAAAGGGTAAATATTATTTTTGGACTTATAAAATATCTCTCTCAGACGTCCTTGGGCACCTGGACCAAGATTTCACAGCAATAAACATAACTTGCTGGCAAAGGTCAAACCAAATACATTCCTCCTATGACAGATTCATCATCACTACCCTGGGCAATAAGCGGAGTTAATATGCACATATCCGCAAATGCAGTAATAATCGTACGTAGCACTTTTGTAGTATGTGTCACAGTCGAAGCATTTTAAAACATTATTAGATTAATCCCCACAAAAGGGCAAAATATTTGGCATCTGATCAATAAGGGAAGTAAATTCCAAGCTGACATCCCACTAGTCTCAAGCCACTCTAGGGACGGCTAATGAAAGTACCCTCGCATAATCTTAAATAACACAGTTGTGCATAGAGAGGGAAACTGTTTCTAAGGTAGCCAGCCAGGACCTAATCATTGTTGGACTTCTGTAGAATAATAGCCACACCTTTAATCACATCTAGAACTAAATAAGATACCCACACAATCTTTGGAGAGCATGTGCAGATTTTAATGTATGATACATTCAAGGTCATTTAAATTTTCTTCGTCCTGATTGTGTGGGCCATTCACAGTTAGATTATCCCTGCCAGATGAAGGATCTGGGCTAAGCAGTTGCTCCAAAGTGTGGTGCTCATTCCACTGTGAGGCACCAAAGTGTCAACGGCAGGTCTGTATTCAGACAGCCCAGCACCCAAAAGGCTTGAGGGGCAGATTATCCTTAAAGAGAACATGCAGTTAAAGTGGGTGCTGTTCATACAGTGTCCCACCTTTGAGCTGAAGCCACCGTGGTGAAATACTCTCTAATCTCTCTAGCTGGTCACTCCAGATTAGGGTTGAACCATATTGCAAGATATAATGGAGGCAGCTGGCACTGTCACTCTATTCTGAGCCTGCACAGTGGAGGATGAGAGTCTCCAGGCCTTTGGCCTGGCTCCTTTCTCCAGCACTAAATTCGCATAGATGCATTTTTAAGAGGTATCTCCCTGAATATTTGAGTCTCTCTGTCAAGTCATTCAGCTCTTTTCTCTGATCACTGGTTAACAGAAAAAAGGTCCTAGCTGGGTGGCCCAGAGCTACAAGCTTGAAAGGTAGCTCTGTCTCCTTTCACCCACTCAGCCTCTTGTTTCTCAGTACTCAAAGGTTAAACACACAAGCGTGGAGCAGATCAATGCCAGAGAAGGTAAAGTGAGGTGTGGAGTGAAGAATTTACACTCTGAATATTACATGAGATAAGCAGGCTGGCTGGAGAACACAGCTTGATCCACGGAGTAGTCATGATCCACGGAGTAGTCATGGCAACAGCTTCAGCAACAGTAAATTTTATTGACAGCGCACTTAAAAACCCAGTAGGCGACACCTGTCAGATTTATTTCTGTACTGAAGAGGAGGAAAGTGTGCTATTAATCAGAGGAGGGAATAAAGACCACTTTTTTTTAATCTCTCTGAGAGCATCTGTATAAAGCCATTGGGATATGCTAAGACCTCTTGGGAGCTTGCTGTATGCCAGAGGCTCAGCATATATTTATGATCTGATTCATCATTTACCTTTTGAAAGAAGGGACAGAGAGTTAAAAATAACGTTTAATTTCTGCTGTGGAACGCAGGATTATAACATTTGCATTATATATCGTACAAAAAACACATGTTGTAACTTTGAAAATTGTCATGAAAACGCACTGGACCATGCACAGAACCTACCTGGTTACCCCATACTGTGATGAGGAAAAAACAATGGTATCTTATACATTTATTTACGTCTGTCAGAAAGTATTCTCCCCAGGCAAGTGAGTGAATAAAATTTTGCAAGGATGCATTAGAGCAAGATTAAGGTTAGGTTTTTATCACACAAAAATAGGAAATGATAATCCTAAAAGTAACCTGAACTCTTCCCCTGGAGTTATGTGCATCTATAATTCTAAGAAAAATTGCGTTGCCATGTAGTACTTGTTGGAGAGTGTCTTTGTCCCAAACTGTGTGATCATGTAATGAAAGCCTGCACGTCAGGGACAGAGTTAAGGTTGTTGTAGAAGTTATACATTCCAGACTTGTATAGACTTTAAATCTTAGGCTTTTTTTATGTTTCAGCTGATCAGTTTTCAGCTCTCACTTTTATTGTCTGGCAATAGCAACTCTGTGACTGCTCATCTTACCACTTACGCACTTTATTAATGGGAAAGATTACATTAAAAATAAGCAGCAAATACATAACACCATTCTGGCAAGAGTACCTCAAACATTGTAAAATCTAGTGTAGATGGTGCAGAACAGAAGAAGGTAGCCAAGTGAGAAAATGTCCAATGAAAGATTGTTTGTGAGAAATCCGTTCCAGGAAGAAGTTGAACCAAGGACCTTTTGTATCCAAAAGCAGTGAGGTTACCTATTGAACCAAAGGTGAATGGGCATTTTCTGTGAGCAGTAATCTCGAATAAGCCCTTTTATGTAAAAGTTACTGCCCGAAGTATCAGTTTGTTAAACACTGCTGTTGCTGTCTCACACAACCAACAAAAATAGAAAACTAGAACAGAGGTATCCTCACTCCAGCCGAGTTTTAACCAAGCCCGAACTATTTTGCTCTTTAAATCAGATGAGATTGTGCCTATTCACGTCTATATGGCAAGCATCCAGGCATTGCACTCCTTTTCTCATAAATATCATAAAAACACAAGATCTAGTCCCCAAGTTTATTCTCAGTGAAATCCTTGTTTCAGTGACAAAAATAACTTAATTATTTTTCTCCCACTAGCGCTAACATATGCCATCCTGAGCAGCATCAACAGAAATGTGTACTAAATTCCAAACAGTTACTCATGCAAACTCATCAAAAGCGCCGAGATTCACAAATTCCACCGAAGGCATGATTTGAAGGCACTGGGATTGCACATGAGTAATTGAGGGCCTAATGTAGCTTGCAGAACTTTTATTACAAGTGATGTGTAAGAAGAGTATGTAACCCAGCTCAATTCTCAGACCTCAAGCCAAGATTGATGGGGGATTGGCAGTTGGAAAAAATGTCTTGACTTGTAAACTGAGTCAGTTTGATACAGAAATCCGAGAGAGACAAAATGAAGCCTCACAATGACACTTTTACAGTCTCCTGTTGAGTCAGAACTCACATTTGAATTGCAATTTATTGTTGCATAATGTATTAATGCTGGAATGCACTTAAATGTCAGTAGCACAGGTTTTATCCCAGACAAAAATATCCTTGTTAAACTAGAGTTAGTCATATGCTTATATCAATAACATTAGAATAGCAACCTTATTAGAACACTGAATGGACAAAACATTAAAAGACCATGAAATACTAGTCTTAAATTCTAGTTTAAACAACTATAAACATTTAAAAGTATGGGAACTTCAAATTAACATAGAATTTCCTGACCTTCTAATTTTTAATGAGTTTTTAAAATATAGATATGAATTTGTAAACTTAACTCCATCTTGAGTTTGTCAAGGGGTTTGTCCTTTTTAAATATGAACTGATAAAATTATACCAGGATGCTTCAACTGCAAACTGGGTCCAGTGGAGTTTGTATATGTGAGGTGAGAGGAAACTGTCAAGATCTGTTGGATTAATTGGTGCAGTTTGCAAAGTCCTTGCCCTTGGGTCTTATAAGTCTATTGCAGTGGGTGTGCATGTCTTGTGGGGTACTTCCCAGATGGACAGAGCTTGAAAGTTTACCCTACACATTCCCAGAAGGGTAGGACCATTGACAGCTCAGTCCTTGAACTGGGCAGCTTTTGTAAACTTTCCAAAGTACATTAGATCCAGGGCCGAGTTTATAAAGGTTGCCAGAAGCTGCCAGAGCCTTATTTTTCCTAAAAAGGGTGTATATTTAGGAAAAATGAGAAGAAACTTGCAAGCAACACCAGACAAGCAAGTGGTGTTAAGGATTTTCTATGGTACACAGGAGTCCCCACTGACCTTTGACAATCTTTCTGCAGGGTGAACCAAATCTGTACCTAGCACAAGATCATGGATATAGTCGACTTTGTAAAATTAATCTGGTTTCTTGCAAAGTTTAAGTTTGCTAAAAGCTGACCGAGCACTCAGATGTTCCTATTAGGTGAAAAACTCCAAGGATAAGAATCCCAACTTCTCAGATAGAATCCACTGTATAAGATCTTATCACTTGCTCTTTAGTTAAACAAGTTTGAAATTCAGTGTAGATGTACCCTATACACATGTGCGGACACTTCCTGTGTTCATGTGATACTACTGCCTAAGATCCTGGACAGTGTATGTAATTGTGCACTGCTCTCTGGCTGTCTTTATCTTACCTGCTGCATCCCTTATATGTACCATGATGGCCTGATAATTCTAGGACTGTGTGCATATTCTTTTCGACATTCACTGATTGTCAGGCAAAAATGGAAAAAGTATAACTAATATAGTTCCCCAAATCTTCCTGCCAGCTCCCTGCCAAGCAACAAAACTTCGCAGCAGCTTAAACCCAGCGGCAATATCACACACACCCACACACGCCATCAAGAGACATGATCTCCCCATATGCTGGCCCTGCCAAACTATCTCTCACACCCAAATCCTCAAGAGAATGTGACATGATCCAGATCACCACCTTCTTGCTGAACCTACTTGCACTCAGATACTGTGATAATGAGTATCAGATAAGAACCTAGAGCAGTGGTTCTCAGCCTATTTACCATTGTGGGCCGCATATGCACCTCTCTGTGTTATGTGGGCCGCATCCACACACTATATATACTACCTGTATGGCCCTGAGGATGTCACATGAGCTGCAGCTGTATGCTGATTGGGCTGCCCGCCCGGCCCGTGGGTTGAGAACCACTGACCTAGAGAGACAAGGTGGGTGAGATAAATTTATAACTTTGCTAGATGCTAAAATTCACGGTCTTAATAAAGACATTGGATTTATGGTTTATTACAATAATCTGTAAACCACTAATCCCCCTTTTTGTCCTGTGACTACAAGGGAGTTAACTGGCCACTTCACCTTGAATAAACTTCACCAGCTAAACTATCTGTTTGATCTTGTATTTAGCTCTGAGTACCTTTTCCAGACCTGGAGAGGAGCTCTATGCAGCTCCAAAGCTTGTCTCTCTCAACAAGAGAAGTTGGTCCGATAATAGATATTGCCTCACCCACCTTGTCACTCTAATCTCCTCGGACCGACACAGCTACAATAGCACTGCATATAAGAACCTAGACAGATCTCCACAACTACTCTTCCTCTTGCTCCCCTTTATTAAAAGGAACTGGATCCAGTACCTTTTCGCTGTTGGATCTACCTACAGCCTCTGCATCAAGCTCCTTTGACCTGATCCACTATTTCTAAAATAGTGCAATGAAATGTTGAAAGCAGAAGGGGAAAATATGGTTTCCATTACACGTACTATAGTTTGTACTGACGTTTTGCCAGCCCTATATAAACTCAGCTAAGATGCATTGTTAATTGACTTCTCTGTCTCGTTTTTATTCTTTACAGTAGTTCAGAATCCGAGATGGAGGAAGAGGAGGAGGAGGAAGAGGAGGAACCGGGGCAGCCACAGCTGCCCACCTCAGACCTGGGAGGCGTGCCATGGAAAGAGGCTGTGCGAATCCATGCCCTTTTGAAGGGAAAGAACGACGAAGAGCCTGAAAGTCAGAAAAACCACGAGGCTGAAGCCCGGGAAGAGGAAGAAGAGGAGGACGAAGAGTCTAGTGAAGGTTAGAAAAAGATGGGTTTGTATTTTCCTTCTGCTACGCAGGCAGGGCAAGCTGAGCCAAGTACCCATGTTCAGCCCAGAGTGGTGTTGGACAGGCACCCCTACGATCAGATGAGTTAGATTGTACCTTATTCTTCTCAGGAAAACCATTGAGGGCTGATGGGGAAGCAGTGAATCAGGGCGGGATGGGAGAGGTTCTTATGAGGGTATATTGATGGAAGGGAACCAGTGAAGGAACTGAGTCAAAGGGCACATGTATACTGCAGCTGGGAGCGTGCCGCCCATTGTGGGTAGATGGACATGCTAGCTCTGCTTGAGCTAGCACATGAAAAATGGCAGTGTCTGGGCAGGTTTGGCGCTAGCCTGAGCTGCAGCCCATGTTATCCCCGGCTACACTGCTCGGGCAGAGCAACGCATGTCTGTCTATCCGCGCTGGGAAACGCAATCCCAGCTTCAGTGTAGATGTACCCAAAGACTGTGTCAAACCAAAGGCCTTCTTATCTTTCGTATCGTTTTTTTCTTTTTATCCTTGTATTTAACATTGCTTTGTACACCTCTACCCCAATATAACACGACCCGATATAACACGAATTCGGATAGAACGCGGTAAAGCAGCGCTCCCGGGGGGCGGGGCTGTGCACTCCGGCAGATCAAAGCAAGTTCGATATAACGTGGTTTCACCTATAACGCGGTAAGATTTTTTGGCTCCCGAGGACAGCGTTATATCGGGGTAGGGGTGTATTTGTAAGTGAATTTAGTGCTGATAAATGATGCTAGGTTGACCACATCAGAGACAGAAGATCTCTCTCTAGAGGGCAGTTACAGCACTAGTAACAGCACAGTACACTTCCCATATACTGTCATAACAGTGGGCCTCAACCAACCACAGTACCTTACCCCTCTCCCCAGTATAGCCTGATAAGAGAGATGGGTTTAATTCTTGTCTCCACTTGCTCTGGACTCAGTACTCTGATTGGATCAATATATTCCCATGTTTGGTTCAGAGTGCTAGAAGGGGGGCACTTTATGCCTGAATGCAGGGTGCAGCCAGAGGGCAGAAGATACTTTCCCCTGGGTGGAGCCTACTTGTACCATAATGGTCTAACCCAAGCAATTAATTCTCTTGCTGGTTCCCCTCTGTGTAACTCTCAGCTTTGTGACAATTGTGCTATTTTCTCACTAGTTTGTAGGGGAATCAGATTTGGATTTGGCCCTCTGTTCTCTAGCAAGGTCTGCGGGTGCTGCGGAGGCAGCGCATTCAGCCTTGAGGAGGAGGGAGTGCCTCACATCACACAGCAGTAACCCTCTATGGCCAATATTAATGGGGCCCCAGGAGAAGCAGTATCCAGCTCTCCTAAGCCAGCAGGAGACATTACACAATATGCAGCCTGAGTTGAATCCCTGTGCTCTCCAGGATGTTTTTATTCCAGCTCTGAGTCTTTCTTTATGAAAAGGATGGGGAAAAGTTATGGAAGGATTTCCTCCCCTGCACCTCTTTAGTAAGTCATAACCATACTGAGCTTGTTTTGGAAACTGGTATCTTTGCCATGCTTCACTGCCATTCCAAATGGTGACTGGATCTTATCTGTCAAAACATGACTTGGGTACTTGCATTTCTCCTTTACTTTCATGAGAGCTACCAGACTACAAAGACCAGCTTCATAAAGGCCATGTAATGTTGACAGTATGAGGAGAGGTCCGTTTGTGCTGGGCTTCAGTGGCAGTCCTGTTCAGGTGTCATTTGGTGTGGGAGATGGCCTTTTAACTAGGTGGTTTGGCTATATTTTTCCACATGGAAACTGGAACTCCGTAGCTGAAGTCTCTGTCAGAACCAAGACCACGGTTTAAGTATAGTAATATGCATATTGTTTACCAGTCTACTAAATTGTGACGTTCCCAGACCTCTGTCCAGTGGAGTTTGCCTATCAAACAGGGAGCTTTGATGAGTACAGTATGTCTTACTGGATTTCCAGACAATAACTCTATGCTTTCTGATTCTCTGTCCTTTCCCTCTCTGTATTATTTGTGTGTGTGTATCTGATGCTATATGTGGGGGTGTGGCTCCCCCTGCTGTAGAGGGAGAGTATTACCCTTGGGCGAGAGAGCTCCAGCAAGGCCTCTGGCTTCAACGTCTCTCAAATGAAGAGGACACGGGTACTTTTAAAGGTACCCTTGTGCCATCACCACTTTAATTTGCCCTCAGGCGGAACTGACATTTTAAAGAGCAGGTCCCACATGAAAAGATTTTCTGTTTTTAGTAAATTGCGTTCACCAACTCTCTCGAGGTTGATTCAGGAATTACTGACTTCTTCTCATGATCCAAGTATGGGCACTACTTGGCTTTACCACATTTTTTACTGTTTTTTGTGGGGGAGGGCAGGGAAAGCTAGATCGACTCCAGAGAGCACTGAGACACTTCAAGCAACTGTAAAATATACCTGAAATTAATCTGATCACTTCCTGCTTGGTTAGGTGCACTGTTTCCCATAATGCACTGTGTTGCCATTTTTGTTTTGATGGTTACTTTCCTGGAGTATTGGGCTACAACAGTATGTTCATTCCTGCTACATTGACATTGCTCATATGTGCCAGGATACGTGAGAGTACAGGGTGAGTTCTTTCACCCAAATGAGTGGGTGCACCGGAGAGCCAGGGTTGCATGTCTTTGTTTGTAGCTGATTGCTATTATAATATACCTCCTTTATTTTATAGTTCCTGTTTTGCCTGAAACTAATTTTAGTATATGCATCAGTCTGAAATATTTCATAGGAGCATAAGAGAAAATCATATGGGAAAATATCAACATTTTTCTTTGCTCTTTTGAAAATATACATACAGTATATATAAATATTTTTTGTTCCGAGCCTTTCTTGACCCATCATTTGCTCTCCCCCTGGAGTCTAGCTGTGCTTTGAGCAGAAGTCTGGGGTCCCTTGGCCACTTTCAACACTCACTTTCTATTGGAAAAGTTCAGTTTGGAATGTTAAATCGTCCCTGATTTAACATTTTTTGATGGTGAGAATTGAAGGTGGCCAGATGGCCAGAGAGCACAGGCACGTAGGGTGACTGCTGTCTTTTTCCTTAACTTCCACTCTTCTCTATCCTAGCAGCTGTCCCACTTTAATTTTTGTTCCCAAAGAGCAGGTTTGGGACAGCTTCCAGTTAAACTTTTGAACTACAAAGTCAATTTGTGAGCGAGCCCAGCCACTCCTAAAGTGTTATGGAGTGCTGCAGTGAAGCTAGAGGGGGAAACACGCTGTTCTTCTGGAATTCACCAGATTATCTTTTCGTGTAACGGTGAACAAAGGGGTCCAGCTTCTTGTGAAGCTTAGTGGCCAGCCTTGGGGGAAGCCACAGCCGCAGCCATTTGAAATCCTTCTGTGATGTTTTGTGGGTCACCTAGCCTAGTAAGGGGTTTGTTACTGCCTGCCCTGTAACCTTCGGTGCCGTAATGCTGTGCTGCTGCGACTCAGACCTGACACCACTAGCCAGCCCGCAAGCATCAAGGTCTCACCCTGGCTTCTGCCAGCCTAGTTACTCCTTGCAGGGTGACACCAACAGCCTTTCCAGTCCCGTGTCTCCCCATAAATTCATAACCACAGTCCGTATACATAGTTCATAATCAACAGAGAGTCCTGTGGCACCTTTAAGACTAACAGATGTATTGGAGCATAAGCTTTCGTGGGTGAATACCCACTTCGTCAGACGCATGTCAGACTAATCAGATCCAGACTAACACGGCTACCCATCTGATAGTTCATAATGACCATCAAGTACAAAACATTACCAGCTTTCACAGAAGACCTTACTCAACATATTTTATAGCACAGTAACATTGTATACAGTCAATTCAAGGGCTTATTTTTTGGGGTTCCAGACCCTCTGTTCTCCTCTTGGGTTGTCTGGACTCTGATTGTCACATCTTCAGCCTGCATTCACGTGGTCAGACATCAGAGAAACACCAGGTTTGCCCTCTAGCCAGCCCCCAATACTTCACAGGTGGCCGGGCTCCTTAAAGTTTTTACATTATTGAGAAAGCTGAATTGGGGTCTGCTTCTTAAGTAAGGCCTGGTCTACACACACAGATGTGCAGGTTTAAATAAAGGAGTGATTTTCATACGAATATACTTAAACTGGTACAAGTTTGGCTTATATCAGTTTAGTTTACATTAGTAAATTTACAGGAGCAAGCTACATTGATATAGCCTGTTTTAAACAGATATGACTGTGTATTCACACTGGAGTTTGCATGAGTTTAACTAAACTGGTTTTTAAATTAATGCAATGTCTGTGTAGACAAGCCATAAGAGTAAAATGTAAAGCAGCATGCAGAGTGCTGCAGGTGAGATGACACCAGCGGGTGCAGGCTATGGCTGCATTTGCAGCAAAAGCATGTCATTTCCATATGGAAAAAAAATCATTAAAATTAAGCATCTCTCCCTATTCTCCAATTTCATTTCCTTAATGGGTTTATAGATACTGTAACAAACACATGCCATCTATTTCTAGCTTCTCATTGTGCTGTATAACCCGGCCACTAAAAACCTGAGATCTCAGATCCTCCTGCTATAAATGACAGATTCCCAGCACTTGAAATAAAGGAGAATCTATTTGCTGTAGTAGTACAGGGCCTGTGACACACACTTGAGCAATTCTGATTCCATCCATTGAAAGGTAGTGGTAACATATAGGGTAGCAAGTACATTACAATACCTATTGTGTAAAAGGAATAATCAGGTAATAAAGTTAGTGATGTCAGACCTGTGTCTGGTCCAATTCTACATTCTGATTGGGCCTTTCTTTGGTGATGTCATACCTGTTTAAGTCCCTAACAGTCAGGATACAAAGCCATATTATAATATGGAATAAGTCCTGCAGATCAAGTGGGACCTGCTCTTTGTGAGCCTTGCTGAGTGACTATATATTTCTTCCCATTTCCAGCTGTTGCTGGTAATCCTCAATCTTTTAACTCAGCTGTGTGGTGTGGTGTAAACACTAACTCTACTGATCTCAGAGCCTGCATGTGGGAGCATTGGAATACAAGTGCAATGAGGAAAGATCAGACCGCTCCATTTATTGGCCAGTGACTTGGGCCCTATCAGCCACTCCTGAATATTCTCTTGTTCCCTTCTGGATGTCCAGAAGTTCTGGTAAGGTCAGGTTTTGTGCTGATTCGAAGAGGGATCGTTACACTGAGAAAACTGTGATATACAGATTAAAATTGAATCCCGTTCCCTTTTTGTGTATTTCTCTGCTTTCTTTTGCCCCTTTGACTAACTACCAAATAATTTTGTGCTTAGATAAGTGCTGCTTCTCTCAATATCCGTTTTCTCCTACTATTATAGTGCTGAGTGTGATACCACAGTCATTTCTGAGACTGAAGTCCTAATTTATTTGGGGAGGAGGGATAGCTCAGTGGTTTGAGCATGGGCCTGCTAAACCCAGGGTTGTGAGTTCAATCCTTTAGGGGACCACTGAGGGATCTGGAGCAAAAATCAGTACTTGGTCCTGCTAGTGAAGGCAGGGGGCTGGACTCGCTGACCTTTCAGGGTCCCTTCCAGTTCTAGGAGATAGGATATCTCCATTAATTTAAAAAAATATATATTTAATTTAAATTTATTTTTATGATTCCACAAACCAGGCTTTCTGTGGGTTATTCTGGTGTGTGACAGTCCTTCCCTAGTACATTTTTGACAAATGCCTAGTTCCAAGCTTCTGAGATGGAGCCTGGCCTGTTGCCCTACATCATGGGCAATCTGCAGTCAGTGAAGGTTGGCTCATTGCTGTGCAGAGACAGACGGCTTGTTGCCCTACAGTGTGAATGGCTGTGTCTAGTGCATGCCAATGAGTGGGGAGTGGTTAGTGGAGAAAACAGCTTGCCAGAATATAAAACCCTGCAACCTGTGGCCAGATCAGCCATGGAGAATCCTGTATACCTTGCTGCAGGAAAATGGCGAGGAGAACCCACAATCAAATTTCCCAGGGTCCTTCGCACCGCAAAGAAACCAACAACAAAGGGGAAATTAAGAGAATTGCTACCAGGGTGGATGAATCAAACTGTCTAGTTGAAAACCTTCAAATACACAAAATACCTTCTAAAGCGGTCAGCCATATGTACCTACACTTTTGTCAAAGGAAATCCCCTTTGAAGGAGAGAAGAGGTTATTTTCATTATTTTCAATGAGAATGCTGATATTACTCATAAAATGATGCTTCCCCCTGAACAACCCACTCACTACTCCAACAACACAGCTAGAATGCTCTGAATAAAGTGTTGTAAACCTTAAACTGAGCAAAAATTCAATGTGATATAAGGCTACATGCAGCTGGTCATTCTGAGGTCAGCCGGCAAAGGGAGACCTTATGGTTTCTCTGTTGCACATGTGGGTGAAAAGTTGTAATTCAACCCCCGAAAAGTTCACTTCCGCAATGTTGAGGACCTCTGGCGAGTGAATGGATCCTTTGTTCTGTGGAATTGAGCCCACAGTGCAGACTGTCCCCATGCCTTTTGCCAGCAGGATACATAGGGTAATACTCATTTTGAATAGGCTGAATAAGGCTGAAATTTCTGCTAATTGATCGCCTACCAAATCTCAGTTGGATGCTCAGAGAGTGTCTTCCATTGCCGGGGTGCTGCTTGCAATAGAGGTAGTATGCCTCTGGGCTAGCATTATTCAGCGTCAGGGTGGAGCAGGAATCTGAGGATTATGAATGGTTGTGTGTTTCTAGATGCATGCACACATGATGCCAAGCGTTGTCTGTCTGTCTGGCAAACTGATCTTGGCAAGTAATATTTTCTTTTTTCTTTCCTTATATTTCCTTTCCTGTCGTGTGTTTCCTTTCTCTTCCTCTTTTTTCTCTCTCTTTCCACCCTATCCTTCCTCCCTTCCCGCCCACATCCTGATCTGCCTCATCCTCGGTCTGCTAGCTGGAAACCTGAGGCTACAGCAGATTGTAAATCCGATTGATCCCCTGGAGATCCTGGCAGATGTGCACTGGACACACATCCGCGAGAAAGAGGAGGAGGAAAAAATGGTCCCAATTTCAAAGTCCTCCACCTCCAGAGGTAATCAATCTCCTGCTGCATCGATCCCCAGATCACAGATGCAGCTGTTTAACTCTGTTGCTTCTGCTCCCTTCAAGCGCAGCCTTCTTCAGAAGGGTGAACAATGATTCAGAGCCTCTGCTTCCTGAAACTTAAACACTGGTTTAAACGTTTTACTTTTGAGGTCGGTCTCCATTTAAGTCACTGGTTTTCTAAGTCAACACAGCATAGTGAGCTTTCCTGGCTTGTGTATCTAATTAGACACTGTGTAACATTCTGCTACAGGATGGAAATCATTTGATATTGCAGGTTGCAAGCCCCTGATGACAGATTTAAAGGGTTCTGGATTTGAGAGGAAGCAATTCAGCCAGTTGTGTTCCTTCAGGATGGGGGTGATGAGTCCAGCCCTTGGAAAAACAAAAGTTACTTATTCTGAAGGGTTGAACAGTTTTCGCGTCTACAATGAATATATTCTGCTGCTGCTTTTCAAAATTTGTATCTGCATCTGGCAGGGGCCTGGTATCTTCAGGGAATGGTGAAGAGCACAGAGGGCCCAAGGAGACAGCTGGTTGCTGTTTGGCTCTTTGTATTGAGATTTGACAGTATTTATTTTTTTTCAGCAAAGTGAGTCACCATTTCAAGATGCCATTTTGCTTCTAAGGTCACTTTGGAGAAGGAAAAAAAATAGAGAATGCTAGTACCCTCTCCCAACATCTCTCATATATCTCATTGTGATTCACCTTCCACACTATTCTCACACTTGGGACTGTGATCTTGTCAGATGTCTTGAGCTAAGCATGGTGGGACCTACTTTCCTAGTATTGGAGAGCTGTAAGGAAAGCCCAAGTGTCAACAAAACCAAAACTTTGTGGTGTTTGATTCAGTAGGTGGTAATCTTCCCTCCAAGTCTGTACCAAACCAATGTTCCAGAATGATCTTAGGAGAACTGTGTTACAGAGGCGCTGTCTTTCCAAAGAAATTTAAGACCAAAGTCCTGACTGCTTGTGGGTATTAAAAATCACATGGTACTTGTTCTAAGAGCTGGGGGTCTTAACTCATGTTCTCTAGCCAAATTCTTGCCAGGTAACTATCTTCTGCCTAATGTTCCTCTGTAGTTTCAGCTGGGAGTGGTTTTACTGCCTAGTGTGTGCATTTATTATTCAGTGCTGCATTTCACCCCAAAGGTGGCTACATTTGAGTGGTGGGGGAAAGTTATTCTTATAAATATAGTAGCTTGTAAAGTGCTTTGGGATTCTTTGAAGTGAAAGGTGATCTATAAAGGTAGATCATTATTTCCCTTCTCCCACAATCATACAAACACAGGCCTCCGTGTTATAGCATTAAACATTCTTGACCAATGTTGCTTGAAGTTTAAGAACCCTGAGTAAGTGCTGACATTGTTCCTCAAGTTTTCCGTACTTAAGGTGAGTTTAGCTTCCACTGATAACAGAAGTGGCCACAAGTCAAGTGTGCTGCCATTTCTCAGTTTTCCTTTTAGCTTATGTTTTCTCTTCTTATTTTTCCAACATGTTTTTCTTTGTGCAAACAAAGAGCGGTTAAAGCAAAAGTCGACCAGAAGGACTTTCACTCACTCCGGCATTGTGAGCTACCAGTGTCCTGTTTCTAAATCCCAACTCCTCTCTCTGTGACACAGCTGCCTCCGTGATATACTGTTACAGTTGTCCGTAAAGTGAAGGAAAACCTGTGCTGACCCTTTCCTATGGTGCAGACAATCCCTTCCGTGGCATTTACAACTTCCTTCGGGAAGCAAGAAATCTTTCCTTCCCCAAAGAATAGGCCAAACTGAGAGCTGGATTTCCACAGACCCGTAACTTAGATGCTTCATTGCAATAATCCACATGTGCTGTTTAGAGAACACTTCAAAACCACTCTCTGGAGTTGATGGTTAGAGCTAAAGGAGCAGAACAACATTGCTGATACCCAGGAAAGCTGTGTTCTGTGATCTCTCATGCTCCAGTAGGAATTCTCCCTTGCCTGTAAGCATCCAAACCCAGGCAATATAGTCTGAAATCAATACAGCCTTTGGCTTCTGTTAGCACTATTTGTGTGGTCATACTCCATCTTCTAGCTTCTCTTGTCAGCTTGACCAAAATGGCTGGAATCTGCAAACAGGACACTGAGGACATGTTCAGTTCTCACTAACACCCTTATCTTCCATGGATCGTAAAGCAGATTTGGTATTTATACCTCATTATCCTAATTTAACCCTCAAATCCAATCTCCATCATCTGACAAAGCCTAGGTTTTATTTCTGCTCTCGGTTTTGAGGAATTTCTCTCTAGTGTTTCAATTTCATACACTTATTTGTGTCTAACTTTTGATTTACTATCATTTATTGTTTTTTAAATTCAGCATCCGACCTTCCCTCCGTACGCCTTGAGGCGGTGCAGGCATGGCTGGAGACGGTCTCTGGAGGTAGTTTGGTGATATTCATTCTATACCAATTCAGAATAACCCTGCCCGCCCTCTTTCCATGCCTTCAACGGCTGAGCTGGTACCTTAACACTGGAACTGTGGCCCTGTTGCTATTGCATGACTAGGAGGGGGGAGTGTGCATGCATGCCGCGCTCACAGTCCATTCTTGCATGAACTGGGCTTTCATCTTACCCCTGGCAAAGGCAGGCCATACAGAAAAGAACATCTTCCGTGTAATGGAGGAGGAGAAGAAAGTAGGTTTAATATTTTGATTTGGGTTATAAACTGAGGAGTAATTGTCATCCTTCCCCACCCCTTGACAAAGGGATCTCGGTGCTTGCTTGTAAGTGAAAAGATTAGGGAGAGTGCTTCAAGCAGTGTCTGGAGCAAATTACAGCTTCCTGCTGAAGAGACCAAGAAAGAAGATGTCAATTAAGCTAAAGCCAGGGACGCTCTAGAGCCAGGAGTGACTATGGAAAAAGCCACGCTCCACAAACCTGAAACATGTTGCCCACCTAAGCACCAAAGGAGTGGAAAGATGCTAAATGTCAGCTGCTCTTCCTAGGTGGTCCCCTAGAATCTCTTATAAAATCAGTGAGTGTGGATATTTCGGGGGATGGGAGGGTGTTAAATTCTATAAACCACAAAAAGGGTCTAAAAAATAGAGTAGAACAGGGGTAACTTGTGTGACCTCTAGCTGAGTTGCCCTTGCAAATAGGAGTAATTAGCTCACCTCTAAAACGTTGCTTCTGTAACTGTTTTGGCAAGGCAGCAGCATTTACGGGATAGCTGCACATCACCCCATCAAGTCCTGGCTGTTGGCCGACACGGACAGACTGCTGAATCTGTAGTTTCTGGCTGCCATAGTGTATATCTCACCAGTTACTGTGTGGCAACTTTTGTCCTCTTGCTCCTCATCCTAACTGCACATACGTATATGCACAGTATATGTATAACTATAACCAGCCACCCTCTTATCCTGTCCCCCAAGCTCCGGGTCCTTCAGAATGGGCTGCCCATTGCACCAGTGTGTTACTTATCTATGCATCCATAAAATATGCTGCTGAATGTTGTGTTTTTAAGGTATTGTGAAGAATTTATTTTCATCTATTAGATTCTTGCTATCGAACACTGCACCACAATTTCCAAATGGAAAAACCAACATACATATAGCCAGGCCAGTGTCAGATAGTCACATTTTTGAAGGTGACACTTCTACACATTTTGTGACAGTTGCTCACATTTGATGTTTTTACTTAAAACAAGTTACTGTGGCATTACTCTTCCTAAAATGGCAATAGCTGGTACACACCCAAGCAACAAGCAGGTCAGTAAAGCATCAGTGTAAGGGGGGCGCTGATTTAGTGAAGAACATCTTTAGATGTCACAGTGGGAAGCCCAGCCCTTACAACTGTGACTCGGCTTCATGTTGTAGATCTGTAAGATTCTGCGTATTATAAAGCCTCTGGTTTAAGGGTGCAGGCCATGTCATGCCACACTCCCTTCTAGGTGATAGCACAGCATCTTATAACAGCAGTTTAAAAAAAAAATGCAAGCCATGTGCCCCTCCACTGCCGTGATGCTACAAAGGTGGAAAAAGTGACAGAAGAAATTCTCAGGTTGAAGGGGCAGGACAACCCTTGTTTCAGTGGGACAGAATGTCAGTGTCATGCTTTGAAGACCAAGGAAGCAAAGAGCCTCTACTAGAAAAAGAGGAGAAGATCAAAATGTGTGTGGAAAATGTCAAGATGCCAGCTCACTCTTTCTTAGACTGTCATGATTAATAGTGTCGTCATTTAAATGGTCCCAGATAGGCTATGAAATGAGCACTGGCATCTGTATACATCATTATGGAGCCAGAATTTTAGCATTGTGTGCATATAGTTTGCAGCATGACTACTGAGAATGTGTGCTCATTTTCAATAATTGAGCATTCAACAACCCAGTTAAATGTCTAACATGTCATTTGAGCCTTCAGTTGTGCTAATTATATGCATAAATCCAAAAATGTGGCCCAGGTTTGTGCAGTCTGCCGGTGCTATGGTTAAAGCTAGAAATGCCTTTAAAACAAAAAAGATTCTGCCTGAAGTTATGGAAAGACCTTGAAGCTGTGTGACCAACACCCACCCATAATAATTGAGATGGGATAAGGTGTAACAATTGAGAAAGTTATAGGAGTCTCTTGGTTTTTGTGAAATATAATTTAATAATATAAATTAAAGGCCATCCTGGTGGGGCCTCATGCTCCCCTCTGGAATTAAATCTTTTTATGTGTAATGTTGTCAAATGCCTTGTTTAGGTTTATAAATTCATGAATCTTCTCTTCAGACTGATCCTGTAAGGCAGATTCTGGGCTCTGGCAAACAAGAACAGACTTTTTATGCGTCTGTTATTCACATTAAAATATCTGAATACATCCAGGTCCTGGGTATCTACACTGCAGTCTGGACTCCACCAAACTGTTTCTTCTAGAATGTTGCAGCCGCACAGAGTTAAACAGTTTTCAAATGGTCAACTCTCCCGGCTAGTCACCTCCTGGCAGGTCACCTCGTCTGACTTCAGGTCCCTCAAACGTCTTTGTTTCTGCTGCTAGGCAAGTTATTGTGGCAGAATATGAGATTGCAGTTTGCAACTAGCACACATCCTCTAAAATGTTGGTAACTGCAGTTCCTTTGTGGTACCAATACTATATTGCAACAACAGTCGAGCGTATTCCATTAGAGCTTTCCCTGACACCCTCATTTAATGTCTCACTCAAGCACATCTTGGTTGCAGAAGTGGAGACGATAGTACTTCACGAGGCCAGTCCCTCAGAAGTGCCTTGAAAACCTTGCAGTGCCAGTGTCTGTGATAAAGCTTCCTCAAAGGCACAAAACCCCTTGACTACTCGGACTCAAGGCTTGAAATGCTGGTTGAGTGTCTTCCCTGCTGACGCACCTCAGAGCATCTTGTTGCAGGAACAATGAGTAAATATTGGCACTCAGGGCACTTGGTGCAGTTTAAAACTGTTTTCCCTTGTATAGATTTTCTTCTCTCTCTCTCAATATTTTAATGCATTTCCAGCCCCATTTGAGGAGAATGAAGTGGAGGATGAGGTGGGCACAGAACCAGCAGATACAGAAGGGGAAGCAGGCGAAGATGGAGACACAGGTGCAGAGCTGGATGATGGTACGGTACCACAGTGCATCATTAAATCTTGTTATGGGAGCAGAGTCATGTTGGGAAGCAGGTATCTTGTATAAGGGTCATCCAGTCAGAGCAGATCTGTATATGTGGGAGCTCAGTGCAGAAGAGAGAAAAATAGGATTGAAGTGTGAAATGGAGCTGAAGAACTGCAGTGCCATGGATTCTGGAAGACATTGCTCGCAACCACTCTGTTAGAGGGCCCAGTCTTATCATAGAATCTTAGGACTGGAAGGGACCTCGAGAGGTCATCTAGTCCAGTCCCCTGCCCTCATGGCAGGACTAAGTATTATCTAGACCGTCCCTGACAGGTGTTTGTCTAACCTGCTTTTAAAAATCTCCAGTGATGGAGATTCCACAATCTCCTTAGGCAATTTATTCCAGTGCTTAACCACCCTGACAGAAAGTTTTTCCTAATGTCCAACCTAAAGCTCCCTTGCTGCAATTTAAGCCCATTGCTTCTTGTCCTATCCTCAGCGGTTAAGAAGAACAATTTTTCTCCCTCCTCTTTGTAACAATTGAAGTCCTTACTCTCATTATAATCTTTCTGAATGAAGGAAGTGAGTATTCATGTGGGATTTTGTATCACCATTAGTAACTAGTTAAGTGACCCCAGTTAGCATGTAATAAAATAGAAGAGTTAGGTAGTAGGGTAGGAAGAATAATAGAAAGATTTAGGAAATAGATGGCTGTCCTTATGGACTTGCATCCAAGACTGCTTCCTATCTGTGTTATCTTCTTTTTCCCCCCCCAGATCAAAGATGGTCAGATGACACCCCATCTGATGCAGAAGATGAGTGTCACTTACCTCAAGGGGACATGGAAGAGCCAGAATTGAAAGTCTCTGAGGATGAGGGTGAGCGAGAGGCCGCTGCTCCCTGCAGTCTGACAGACGGTAAATACTTAATCTCTGTATCTTGCAGTCCAGAAAGACTGATCATTTCTTTGAATTGTCAAACTAAGCTATTGGTGAAAGCAATCTCTTCAGTTACATTTGAACAATGCCAATACTCAATGCCTTGCATGTGTTTGCATTTGTGTTCTGAGAAAGGTGTTGTGATACCATGAGCTACATCTTCCCAAAGCATCAGGGAACCCACAGAACCAGTTGTTCCCTCTCTCAGATCCCTATGGGTGCTTTTGGGCTAACTGCCTGTGTCATTAGGGTCACATACAGATACTCAAACAGACTCCAGAGGGCTCATCCAGAATGTAAAGGGCTAGTGATTTGTTCACTGTTTACTGTGCTTCACATGGATTTAGAATGTTAAGAGGGCTCGTTTGTGGGGGGTTTCAATGCACTCTCCATTTTCCCTAGATCCATGCAAACCCTCTACCCCCATCTGGTCACCCAATGAGACCGCTGTTCCTCTGTCCCCAGTTGGTAGTCCCAGTGCAGAACAAATAGAGGTAAGAGTTCCTGGTGCTCTTCAAAGCTATGTTGATATCAATTAAGGGACTGTACTCTCTAGATTAGTAGAACAGCTTGTATGATTGAGAGTGATAGTTTTAGCTCTTTTTTCTTATCTAGATAATGTACATTGTCCTCTGACTTCTTGAGACCTAGTTTCATTTAGTTTTTAAAAGAAAACAAGCCACTTTTTTTTTCCTCTGAAGACGTTCACAGTGCAATAGCTGATCAGTAGCACAAGTCTCTAACTCTAAAGGCAAAGAAAAAGTTATTGGGGACCCTCAGTGGGCCAGTGTAGCAAGCAGGAGTTATGTATCATGCATATATACAACAGCAAAATAGTCATTGTCCAGTCCCTGCTTGAGTCTGCTCAGTCACTCTGAGTTCCCTCCACAGCAGTGCCCTGTCAGATTCATTTGCATATAAGCTGAGTGAAGACAAAAGTCATAATTGAGACACTCCGGGTTTATGTTTTACTCGTTTCAGTGCCATTTCATTTAGAAAAATCAGTTTCCCGTGCTACTGCTCTGTAGGAGAATCTTTCTTAGTAACTTGGGACACTAAAAATGTTGAAATCATCATTCTCTGTTTCCATTTTTTTAGTATTTTATTTTAACTGTTATGTCCTTTGTTTTTGTGATTATTTACTTGCTAAATTGCCAGTGCGGTTGGATTTAGATTCCCTAGCCAATACTTAAATTGTGAGATCAGGCTGGTTTGCTGACAGCATTCATACTGGAAGGGAGTGGAGTGATTTCCTCTTGTCACTTTTAATGGTACTATCAGACACATTTATTATTTGTTTTATAGTAATGCTGCAGTCAGGATCCAGGGCCATTTTGTGCTAGGTGCTGTCCAGGCATACAGTAGACAGGGACTCTGCCCTGAAGATCTTGCATAGTTTTGAAAATAACATTTTCTGCAGCTGACACTCTCCAGACAGTAAATCTGTATGGGGAAATGTCAAAGGCATAAACTCTTTAACATAATACATTGCCTGGGTGACATAGCAGTCTAGTGGCAGCAGGTCCAAGTGAAATCCAAGACTCCTCAGATGATTAGGGGTTGGGAGCTCTGCAGCACCCACGTACTGAGCCCCCAGGTAAGGAATGCCTCAGGCCTTTGAGAAACAACCCTACCCTAGCCAGCTCTGGCCAAAATGTGGAATAGGTCTGGAAGAACCTTCCTCTGATGGGGGGGCCACTCGGAGGTGGGAAGGGGTAAAGTGGAATTGGGTATTCTGAAATGTACTTTCCTTCTCTTTCCAAAATTAAATTTGTCGTTTCAACTTGCAGAATAGACAGCTTACAGAGTGGAACAATATCTGATGAAAGATCCCAATTGGTTTTCCATGCACTGGAAAAGGATGCCAAATGCACTTTTCATATATTGAAGCTTAAATTATCACTCCCTTATTCCTGAAAGCCTAAGGCATGGAGCGATATTCTAAATCCCTCTGAAGGTGCTTAGGGACCATTAATAATAATTTCTTTTGTTTCTGCATTTCCATAGAAGGTAAAGGATCCCCTCACGGCACTGCCCTGCATGGACAAATCTCCAGAGACACGCTTTTTTCCTGAACCATTCCTCCTTGAAGAAAGTCCAAAAGATGAAATCCTTGAAGATCAGAAAGTTAAAAGCCCTTCTGTCTCTCTCTCTCCAATACGGTCCCAACCAGTTGCATTGCCAGAAGCCATCACACCTACATCACCAGTGCAGTCTCAGACAGCAACACCTATGTTGGCTTCATCCTCCCCCTCTGCCCAGTTGCCTATCTGTTCCCAGCCTTTGCCGTCTGCTGAAGCATCCATTCCATCTCCAGTGGAACCTCCAGTGTGCTTTCAGCCTGTACCAGCCTTAACATCCACCCCTCTGGCCCAACTTGCCCTGAAGAGCCAAGATAATGAGGTGGAAAAATTGGGGAGCCCTACTACTGCAGAAGAAGCCCTGAAACGGAATAACCTCGTAGAGGAGTTCTGGATGAAGAGTGCTGAAATCCGGAGGAGTCTGGGGCTCACTCCAGTGAACAGAAGCAAAGGGTCAGAGCCTAGCTTCACTGTCTCAGCCCTTGAGTCAGCTCCGCTGAGTGTTTCAGAGGAGGGGATCCATCTTCTAAAACCCCAGCCTGCCCCAAGAAGGCTGATCATGTCCAAACTAGACAGTGAGCAGATGTCTCTGCTGACTCCAAAATCTCCCTCGGACAAAGAGCTGAAGAGTTCCAATGAAGTAAAGAGAGACTTATCCAGCAGCTCTGGATTGGGTCTGCATGGGAGCTCATCCAACATGAGGACATTGGCCAGCCAGAGCTTCAATACTTCCGACTCCACTATGCTCACTCCACCATCAAGCCCTCCCCCACCACCTCCTCAAAATGAAGCACCAGCAACTTTGCGTAGAAAGAGGCATCAGACAATTTGGCAGAATGAGTCAGAGTCTAAACCAGCAACAGCACCGACACCTCCTGCACCCTCACCTTATGAGCACAACCCGCCTGCCAAAGAGTCAACCCAGACCTCAAAAGAAGAGGTGCGGAAGTCATTTGTGGAGAGTGTGGATGAGATTCCATTTGCTGATGATGTGGAAGACACTTACGATGAGAGAACTGAGGATACAAGTCTTCATGAGAAGTTCTTTACACCCCCTACCAGTAGGCCAAGGCCAGAGAAGCCTCTTCACCTGCCATTGGTCAAAGAGAATGGTGGACCACCATCAATGGAAGGAGGAGCGAACCAAAGAAAGAGAGTGCTGCCTCAAATCTCTCCAGAAGCCAAGGAGCTAGCTGAGGAAAGAATGAGAGCCAGAGAGAAGTCTGTAAAGAGTCAGGCATTGCGGGATGCCATGGCTAAGCAGTTGTGTAAGATGAAAGATCTGGAGGCAGCTGCAGCTGCTGGGGCCACCAAGGCACGAAAAGCCTCCTCCATGCCCTTGAAGCCCAAAGAGAGGGTTTTTGAGTCCTCAGCACGTTTGGCCATGAAAGTAGCAGAGGGCCCCACGCTGAAACATGATGCTGCTAATGAAAGGTTCCTCTCCCCCCCTGCTGACGTTGCTGGGCCCGAAGGGTCCGTCACCTCCTCAGAGGGCTCCAGTGGGAAAAGTAAGAAAAGGACTTCTCTCTTCTCCCCTCGTAAGAACAAAAAGGAGAAGAAATCCAAGAATGACAGCCGGCTTTCTGACAAATCCAGTGGCCTGGCCGAGGAAGCCACCAAGCCCAGATCATTGTGGAAGTCTGTTTTCTCTGGATATAAGAAAGACAAGAAGAAAAAGACTGATGACAAATCCTGCCCTAGCACTCCCTCAAGTGGTGCCACAGTGGACTCTGGGAAGCACAAGGTCTCTCCAATGGTTAGAGCAGCAGGTATAGTACATCTGCCTGTCTGCACACTGTACTTTCACTGCAGCTGGAAAGCTTCTGAAATGAAGTAGTCCCAGCTTGCTACCCCACACTGTTATGCCTCTGAGTCACTCTCCTTTGCCTAACATGCAAACCAGGATTACCCTTGAGGATAATGGGATTAGAACTGTACACATGTTTGTTTATAAAATAAGTAGCATATCAATGGGAGAAACAGATTGTCAAATAACAAATCTGGCACATTACTGTTCATTTCATATGTACCAGGCTACAGAACTAGTCATTTTTCTGCCTTAACCTGACTCAGAAGAGGAGTTTGCCACTTCTCAAACTTGTTTTAACTCCCACCCTGGCTCCCTACTTTGACCATCAGTTCACTTCCCTTGAATCTGCCATGGCAGACTATGCAATGTTTTTAGAGACCCACATAAATGTCCCTTCATTAATTAAAAGGTAAATGGGTGCTCAAGGGCATGGAGGTATAGTTACTTCCCCTCCTCTTTGTTCCCTGTGTAACTTGGGACCTGCCAGCTCTCCGCTGCTCTAAAAAGCAGGGATCATGGGGTCAATCATAGATATAGATCTGCCACTTGCCATCAGGTCCACTCAGAGCACTTAGTGACAACTTGAGACTCTTGAGACATATTAAAGCAGTTATCTGTAAACATGGGCCAAAGAAAGAAAGAAACCCCACAGTCAGTGATTCCACACTGTGGTGTTGCTTTGTGGAGCACGATATTCCCAGATATTGCAGCAGTGAAGTGTGACTGTGATAACTATTTCAGAAGTATAAGTCAATCAGGAGCAAGGCCAAGCTCAAAAGTATCTGCAGAGACAGAAAGAAACACAATAGTAGTGACCACTCTTCTAAACCTGTCATCCTATTCTTTCTTTTTTTGGGTCTGTTTTCTCAGATTTGCAGCTCCGTCGACACTTGAGTTTCTCAGAGGACTCTGACCTCTCCAGTGATGACGTTCTCGAACGATCTTCTCAGAAATCCAAGCGAGAGGTAGGAAGACCATTTAGATAGAACTGTTCTCATACAGATCACAGACTCAGAACCACAACAACCTTTACCAGGATTAACGTTATCATTCTTACTGTTTTTGCTGCGGATGGTGTTAGTATAAGATTGGTTGAATAATAAACCTGAAATCAGCCAGTCAGTTTCAACAATAATCCAGATTCCCTATTGGCATTGTACAGAGGTCCTGTTGTCACTGCCTTGCGCACAGGCATTATGTGTGTATTGCTTTGTTCTGAGGGTAGGATATTTTTGTCCCTCTAGAGAACATACTCACAATCTCTAGCAATGGGAATTTCATGTCTAAAGAGTAAATTTTACTTGCTGTAACGTTACTACAGAAATGTGCCATTGGGACATTCCTCACTTCATGGTGAAGATCTGGTTTTAGGATGTTGTTGTGCCAACCTGTTCAATAGGTTGATCTGTTGGAGTTCGAGGCCAACTGCATACAGGTATGTTACTGTGCATTCAGCAGAGGCATAAGCAAGACAGAGTATCCAGAGAGGAGGAAACTGCAGGTTTGTGGTTCTGCAGCATGGCATATGTGTGCGTATTTCCCTGGGGAGATGGGGATCTATACATTAGTGTTCTTCTGTCTGGAAAGGGAGAGCCTGCGCCTATTCCTCTCCCATTTTGTCCCTGCTCCCTTTGATGGATCCATGGCAATTAGCAGTGTGTCTCTGGGTGTAAGCAGTGACTGCGAAACTGAAAAAGGAAGAAGGCGCGTTGGATACATGGGGATTTGAGCGTAGGGCTGTTGCTCATCGTGCAGGTAAGGGCTGGGTGTGCGCTCAGCTTCTTGAGAGAAAGAAGTGTCTGCTTGCTCATGAGCAGCCTCCTCTGGCTAGTGCTGTAGAGTTCTGGAGCGAGCCACATTGACCCCTCCCCAGCCAAAGGCAACTACACAGTGAAATGGGGCTCAAAGGGGAGTAGAAAAGTAAAGAGAAAGTGGAAGGAGCTTCTGCTGGACCCCCACAAACACCCAAAAAAAGAAACCTGTCATTTTGCTGGGACCAGGGCATATCTATGAGTAAGAGACCTGGCAGGAACTGAGGGGCCCCTGCTTTTTATTTCTCTCTATCTAGTGTATTCATCACATAATGAAGGGGGTGGCCATGTTTTCATAGTTTCATTTGATCAGGGGAAAAAATAAAGTAAAAACAGAACAAGTGAAAGATTTAAAAAAATCACAGTGGATGTTGGAGTGGAGAGAAACCTGCAGCTGTCGGAGGGGTTCCTGGATGTGCTCTGCAGGTTTGGGGTATGATGATTGGGTACAGCCTTCTCATCCACAGTACCATGATCCTCAGCTCAAGCATGCACTGGAAAGAGAGAAGTGAGTTCTCTCCTGTCCCCACTTTCTCCCCTTGTGCCTGGCTCCCAGGGTATGTCAACACTTCAAGCTGGAGGTGTAATTTCCAGTTTGAGGAGACGTACCTGTGCTAACTGTGATCCCACTACTGTGCTAAAAATGTAATTGTTGCCATGGTGACTGGAGAAGCTAGCCATTGGAGTACATACCTAGCATCTGGGATGGGATCATCCACCTCCATCTCATGAACAAAAGGAGCCTCAGAGAACAGTATCACAGCTCTCCACTCTAATGGTGAGCAGCTCCCCCCAACTTTCACCAAGCCTGGAGAAATCAATGGCAAATGCCAGGTTAGGGCAGATGTCTGGTTCAGCTGATGAAGGTCTCAGCTGATTGGGGAGGTTGTGGAGCAGTGCAAGTGGAAATACAGCAGAAGATCATTTCCACTTGTATTTTTAACTATGATAAGATAAAATGTAGTTTGAGCAACTAACAATAATTCTCATAAACATGGCAAGCAGAGGGATTGGTGTACTGAAGTGAATGCGACTCGTCCTCACTTAGTTAAACCTCTTTAAGCTTCCCCCCCGGTTCATATATATATATGTAGTCACCTTTTCTGAGAGGAGGGTTTTACTCTGGGAACTGTTCTTTATATTGGACCCCTTTCTTCTCTTCCTTCTTTGCTTGCCCTCGAGGTGTTTCATGACAAGTTCCGCATTGCATCTGAGATGCAGAAGGAGGAGGTACCTGGGGAAGCAGAAAGAGATGCAGTATGTGGGGGTTCAGATAAGAGCTGTGATGCTGTCATTCCTGTCCAGCTTGTGGACTCCTGGCAGCGGGACTTCAATAAGCACCATGTATGTTCTCAAAGTTGAGGGTGCTCTAAATATTCACTCTTTTTCTCTGGCACCTCCATGCTGAGCAACTTTGGTATAGATTGGCTTTTGCAGAAGAGATGCTGGCCACTGAGTATTCCAGGGCCTGGGGATATTATAGATGGCCTGGAATTCTTCCTGATACCCAACAAAATATTGTTCTTCCTTTAAATTTTCTCAGCTATTTTACATAAGCAGCAAGATTTCCAGGGTATGGTTTTCTTGTCTCATTTTCTCCATTTGCTGTGGCTGAGTCACACTTAAGGATCTCTTCTTTGCTAAGTGCCCGCCTGTGCTTTCCAGGAGCAGTAATTGGGAGCGTGTGCACTCATCCAGAGGGAACAGACCACAGACACATCAGCCTTTTGGTTCACAACAAATGTGTCTGGGGATGTAAAACATTTACACCACACCCTGGCAAGTCTCGCTGCAGAAGGAATTGCATCCAGGGTGTGGCTGGCAAAAGGGCAGCACTGATTATTGGGTTTGTGCCTTTTAATTACAGCCCAAGTCAACTGCTTATTTCCTCCATTATGGGGGGAAAAGTGGCTTCCTTCATGCCGCATAACTTTTATCTGAACCCTTTCGAAGTTAAAATCCAGCTAATGTTGCTTTTGTGGTTGTTGTATTGAACTTGCTTCCCAGAGGGCTTGGCCCATTTAGCCTGCCCATCATAGCATTAGCAATCAGCAGTGAATTAACTTTGTGTGGCTTAGTGTGTTGCCTTTCAACAAACGCTTCCTGTAAAGAATGTTCATGTAGTTCCCTGTGGGGTGTGCGCTAATAGGTGTGTGTGAGAGAGAGAGAGAGAGAGAATGTACAGGATGTGGGGCGGTGATCAGAGATACACGTCTCCTGCTACAGATAGTTCGCTGAATATTAAAATTTGCATACATGTTCAGATTGTTTCTCAGCTTTCCATTCATGATTGTTTTAATTAAATGAATATTCTGCAAAAATGCTGAATGCTGGCGCTGTGCCCAGGGTGTTACAGTGCGCTCTGTACCTCATCGCACAATGGAAATTCACTTCGCCTAGGAACACTGGGCAGTACAATCATTTCACCTTAAGGGGGTAATGGAGCTAAGGGTACGTCTGCGCAGCAGCTGGCCTCATGCTTCGCAGCACGGGTAGACAGACGCACATTAGCTCTGCTCGAGTTAGCACACTAAAAATAGCAGCGCGGCGGTGGTGGCTCAGGCCAGTGGCTCAAGAACAGTCCCACCCAAGCCCCTGGGCTGTCCCGTCTAGCCTGAGCTGTCACCTGTGCTGCTGCAACCACACTGCTGTTTTTAGTGTGCAAGTTTGAGTAGTGGTAGCGTGTTCTTGTCTACCTCGAGCAAAGCTAGCACGTCTGTCTCCCAGCTGCTGCGTGGACATGGCCTTAGCATGCCACTCTTGAATCGGTATGGTAGTAAATTTTTTTTTTTTTTACTGAGTTGAAATTACAAGACGGAGGGGCCAGAGCAGAGTGTTCAGCTATTACTGACTCGTAGCACAGCTCCTCACTGAGCCGCTGCTGCAGCAGAGCACTTCCAATACCCTGCAGCCCCACTGAGTCAGTACTGGTGTAGTGAAGAGTGTCTCATTTCAGCACTCTTGGAGGAATCCCACTCAGGTAGCAAGTCAGAGCCTCCATTAGCTTATGAGACACAACATGCTCAGAGCCCCAGGTAATGTTCTTGCAGGTTACAAAGCAATGAGCGAGGCCATGGTGATGGAACTCCGAGCTTATTTTTAATTAGTAAGCAAAGGCCAGATCGAAGCCATAAAAGCACCAGAACTTCTGAGAAAAAAGGGATGGAGAAGAAAGTAGATGAGGGGGAATGTGTCTGAGTCAGCACGTGATCTTGCTGCCGCTCTGAATGTTGAACAAGCAGACACCAGAGTGAGTCCCACCAGGATGCAGGCTTTAGGCTCTGTGACAAAGGCAAAACCCATGGACAAGGTAACAGACTGAATAGAGAGCAGTATAGTGAGATATCCGAAAGGGCTTCTTCACCAAGAGATTCATTAATATGTAGAATGGACTGCTGTCTTAGTTATACATCTGTACAGCACCTACCTCAGTGGATGCTCATCCCTGATTGGGGTTCCCAGCTGCTGCTGTAATATAAATAACAGCTTAGTGAAGGCCTGTGAAGTTAGTGATTATGAATCTGTGATGCATACGTATCTGTCAGTCTTATTTTTGGATAGATCTGTTGAAAGTTTTGTGTTCCTGGCAAGAAACATCGGGTGGACTGAGTGAATCTAGGGGTTCTCACAAGCCAAATCTTTCTTTCTAAAAGAACTCAATCATATGTGTGTGGATTTTTTTTTTTAAGAAGCCATATACGATTGGCTGAGCTGGTTCAAATCAAAACAGAACCAACCCAAACCATTGTTCCAAAGCTTGAACCAAAATGTTGTTTGTCCACATATCTACATATACTTATTGCCAGAATAGAAAAGGGGATCTCCTGGATGACTGGTTTTCCAAAGAGGCTCCTCAGTTGGAATTGCCTTCAGGAGAGTGCTGGTAAATGGATTTCTGAGTAGAGATTTTCCATTGTGCGTAATCAGGCTGTGCCAGGTTCACCATTTGTACAATTTTATGTTGCGTTTAAAAACAGCTTTGTTTGTATTACTGTGCATTTGTTTTCAATGTTGAACTGATTTTGCTCCATTTTGTGTGTTTTTATTTTTTTCCCGTTACCATTCCCATTTTAAAGTCGATTTATGTACCACACGCCCTGGCATTCAAGAGATCATATTCGTCAAAGGTAGTGTCTCCATTGCTGGCCATTGTTGCATGCATGCCCATTTATTAACCCATCATATCCATACCTTGCTCCCAGCCCTCCCACCACATCTGCACTAACACCACAACCCCTGACTCTGCATGAGTGAGATGTTAGCAAACATTGGCAATGGAATCTTCCTCGAGATCATCTACAGAAAATGCGATGAACCCCAAACCTTTCTGACTCGTTAGACTGCATGCAATGATCAGTGCACCTCAGGGGTCCAAAAGGGGGACTGTTAATCAATCTGTAGGACAGTTTGGTGTTGCAGATGCATTAGGAACCCTTAGCTTCAAAGCAGGCTGATTTGTTAGGTAGAAAGTGTACTGTACGTGTGTATTTAAAAAAACAACAACCCTCCCCATTTGAAAAAGAGTAAATGGTCATGTGTTAGTTTCCAGGGTCTTTTGAAACACACTTGGACAAACCGTGAAATAATAATGAAACTATCCCAGGTTGTTGCATTAGCTTTTCCAGAATGGAAGTATCTCTGTTTCCTAAACTCCATCCCTGTCCCCAAACCTAGCCTGTGTCACAGGAGTGTCTGGTGTGATCTGAAACCCCCACCCCTCAATTATTTTGCTTTCTAACTGGGGTAGCATTATGTGCAGAAGAATGAAGAAGCAATGCATTAACTCCTTTCCCTTGGCAGATACAATGGTGCCTCCATGTAATCCCCTGTGTCAAAAGCTTGGGATAGAGCTGCTGCCCTTTGGCTTTAAAACTCCACTGAAGATCACACTAAACTATCCCAGATATTGGTTGCCAAGGCCAATCTTACAAAGATGGGCTGCTCGGTTGGGACTTGCAAAAGAATAGTGATGTTAACTAGATTTTAAAAAAAGAAATTCAGGTCTCCCTTTCCCAACATTTTGCCCCTTAAACTGAGCGGCATCTCTGTCCACAACTGGGTTTGATTATGAAGAGGCAGTTACCTCTTTCCAATTGACCCTTAGACTTTGAATCTGTGTATATGAGGAGGAAAGGTGCTTTTTTCAGTCAAGTGAGCTCAGTCAGGTTAGCTTGACATAATTGTGAGGCCCTGTTAACATCTTTAAAGTCACATATGTTTGTGCCCACCTAGGCTACAACACAGAGGTAATACTGGTCTGAAATAATGAGTGAAAAGATGTTAAACTGTGTCTACCCTGGTATTAAGAGGGCTTTCCTGTCAGGTTAAGCTAACTCGACTGAGTTAACTTGTCTGAAAAAGCACCTTCTTTCCCCTGTAGCTATGGCCTTTCTTTCCTTGACATGATTTCTTGTGGTTTCTTTTTTCACTAGCTAGCTGTGATGGTGGTTGTTATGACAGTCCCTTCCCTCCTCCCTCCCTCCCTTACGTTTAGGTTTTGTCTATACACACAGAAATTACAGTGATTTAACTAAGGACTTGTCTACACAGACAAGTTTTACCAGCTATAAAACTGATATATCAGTATAACTCCTCTATGTGGACATATATTCCAAATAAAGAGTGGCTTTTTTCCATTTAGCTTAAAACCCTTCCAAAGCAACATTAGATAAACTGAAAAAAGGCACTCTTACACGGGAATAAGAATGACCATGTGTGGGGGACACTGATATAAGCAAAGGTGTGAATCTAAAACAGTATAATTATGTCAGTATGACTTTCCCTTGTAGATAAGCCCTTAGTCTTTTTCTAAATTAAGTCAGTGCAGCCTCCATACGTAGACACTTTTAAATTGATTTCAGAGTGTCCACACAAGAGGGTTGTACCAATTAATTAAATGGATGCAATTTTTGTGCTTATACTGGGTCTAAGATGCTATTTACCAGCTAAAGCCAGGACTGGGATAAAATTACAGCTTTGCAGTTGAGCTACACACTCCTTCATGCTGTATTAATCCTGACAGTGTCACTTGCTGCGCTGTGAACACCTGTGCAGATGGAACAGCTTGACTGTTTGACAAAGTTCTGGGAATGAAGGTTCACATCACTTGTGAGGCTAATGGAGAGAGGAGTGTCATCTTTCCCCCGCGCTCTTGTTCATGGTATGTGAAATCTGCTCTTGTTTTCCTTTCTGCAGAGAGCCTACACTGAGGAGGAGCTGAACGCCAAACTGACCAGGCGAGTGCAGAAAGCTGCCCGGCGACAAGCCAAGCAGGAGGAACTAAAGAGGTTACACAGAGCCCAGGTAGTACCTCTGGTAGTATCTTCTTGCCCTGACAGGAAATACATTCTGCCGTCCAGGAAAACCATGTTATCCTGACACTCAGCAGGATGTGCAAGAGGAGACTGTTTAGCCAGATTTTGTTGTTTACTTTCCTGTATTTCAACAAGATTGCTGCTGTTCCTACTGGCTTCATCATGTTGGGTGCCCCTTCACAAACATGCCAGGAGTTGCTTAAAGCTTTCATGATAGTGCAGAGCAAGGAAACACCTGCATAGTCAGGGCTACTACCATTGAGCAATAACCATTGTAAATTGAATGGAATAACAGACCTCCCTGAATAACATGCGATGCAGCTATGCCAGTGATGATTGTATAAGCCACGGATGTTACAGTGGGATTTTGCTGCAATAAGTGTACCAGATGGATGTTTTATTGTCAGACACACCTTTGGAATGGGTGGTAGGTGTCCTTTCCAGGTGGTGGGAGTTACATGAAACCTGTTGGCCAGTTGTGTTCTCTCACTGAGAACGGGGCCCGCCTAACCAAACAGCACCACCTCTTGTCTTGGGGGTTGGTGGGAGTCTTAGGCAGAAAATGGGACATCATGGGATTGCTTGCAAAACTAGGGCAAAGGACACATCTCTCTCCTGATTAGACACCTACCTCGGAAGCATTGCATGGAGAGCAGCTTTTTGGAATTGCTGGGAGAAAGGGGAGCTGTCATTCTGAGGTGGATAATTTGGAGTACTGGAACAGTTCCTGATGATAGTGTTCCTCTCTTCCCTTCCTGAACAGATCATCCAACGGCAGCTGGAGCAGGTAGAAGAGAAACAGAGGCAGCTGGAGGAGAGGGGGGTTGCAGTGGAGAAGGCCCTTAGAGGAGAAGCAGGTACCTTAAAATGTTGTTTGTTTTTAATGTTTGCTGACTAAATGCCCATACAATAGTTCGTAACAATTTGGAGTTTAGGGTGAGGGGGTCCCCTCTGAACTGAAAGTGGAATAGTTTAACTTGGACTCAGATCATGAATTAATTCCCCTTTTCCCAGCAGAATTTTGAGGCCCTGTTATCCCTGAGGTTCTTCTAACTCTGGGGCTTCTCTCATGCAAGAAGTCCCTAGAGCAGTTGTCTTTGCTCGGGGCTCAGGAAATGCCTACCCACTATTCATTGAAAGCTATTGTATAAGAGCTAGGTGTTTCTAATTATTATTTGGTGATGGAACAAAAGTGGAATATTAATTACATCGTAGAGAAATTGCACAGGGGTTACCCAGCTGGAATTCACTTAGGTTACCCAGCAAGGAGAGCCCAGTTGGCAGGATAAGAAAATCACTGTGAAATGACGTCTGTTTTTCCTGCATTGTATTGGATCATCAAAGTTAGTGTCCACACAAGAGACCATCACAGAACTGCCCCAGCAAGTACCTTCTCCTCACTGCACAGCCCAGACACCAATAACCTCTCACCCAAGCTGTATGGATCAGAAATGCATGTACCAAAAGGTTTCACCATGTCACGCTGTTAATGGAATGTGCTACATCCCTTTTGTGGCTAAATACAATGAGTGCTGAGCGAGGTTGGAAAAATATCTGAGCAGAAAAACTCTTGTTCCGAGTGGCAGTTTTCTACCCCTACAACTTCCCCATATGATATCATAATCCAGGGAAAAAAACAATCCCAAATAATGAATCAATTATTGGGCCAGGAGCCAACGCCCCCCAGGCAAATGCAGGGCATGTGCGCACCATACTGCAGAGGTCAGAGATTATAAATGGTAATAATGGGACAGCTGTTTGAAAGATGGAACAGTGTGGTGATCGGATGGAAGAGCAGCCACTGTCTCTGTAAGGATTGCACTGAACTGGGTGATGAAGGTTCCTTGGGAGGGAGGTCTGGTTTGGTTTTCATTGGTTACTACTCAGCCATCTCACTTGGTTGTCTTTAACCCTCAGCTTGGCTTTCTGAAAGTCAGAGTCCTAGAATTTAAGGCCAGAAGGGACCACTAGATTATTTAGTCTGACCTCCTGGATATCACAGGTCACCAACATCACCCAGCACCTGCACACTGAACCCAACAACTGAAATTAGACCAAAGGAACTGAGATCTACGGGGTACTAAACAACTGTGTGCCATAGGAAGAGAATATGAGGGACCAAGATGCACCAGTGCTCGAGCCCACTGCGATAGCTGGGAAATTAAGTGAGAGATACCCAGATAATCTTGGCAAGTGACACTCACCCACCCGCTGCAGAGGAAAGTGCCTATAGAGGCTGGGCGATTAACAGTGTCTTATCCAAACAAAGGGTTGTGCTGCAATCACACGGTCAGCATTGGAGCACAGGCTTGATCACCTCATTGGTTTTTTGTTCTGATTGATTTCTGTGATATGTCGGTTCACAGAATAATCTGATGCAATAATACATCTGCAGTGGCACCTCTCTCTGTATGCTATCTATGCATTCAGACATGGTGCCATTCGCAGACCCCAGGCCCTCTAGCTACTGCACAATAATACCCCTCTCTCTCTCTCTCTCTCTCTCTCTCTCTCTCTCTCTCTCTCTCTCTCCTGCCTTTGGTTAGTTTTTTAGCTTGTTCCCCTGTCACCTTGAATCCCCTCTTCCTCATTCACCTGCTGAGGACATCCATGTAAGGAGCGTCACCAGAGGCCATGGAGCCTTACAAATGGAAGCGTGTGCTTCTCCACAATCTAGGGAATGTCTAGGCAGGCAGGCAGTGATGGTGTGGGGGTTGTGGGTATCCAGTTTGGGGGGCAGAGGGAGAGCTGAATTGGGGCCTTGCATATTTTACTTGTCATTGAGCCTGACAGAACCTAAAGCCAGCCCTGCATGGGCTGGTGTGTTTGTGACCATTTTTTAAAAAACAGGAATATGAGAACATGCATCTCTCTTGTTGCGACTGCGAGAATCTCCTGCTCCAGCAAATCTGTGGGAGATGCTCTGAGCTTGTGACAGCACCACATTTCCACCAAAAGGTTGTACAAGTTATGTTTACAGAAGCTTCAGCCCATCATAAGGGACTCTGCAGCTTGAACTCTTCCAAGCCTTGCAGAGGATAAACAGGGAATGCTTTATTCCAAAAAATGTCTAAATCCAACCTCCGCTGGCTGAAACACAGGCTAGAATGTGACCTGTGTCCCCCACTTCCTCAGCCAGCCCAGTGGGGGCATTTTACATATCTTCACACTAGAGCCACTGTGTTTCCCCTCCTTTTAAAATCCTTCCTTTACCCCTCCCTCCGTAGTGTTATTAACTTTTGTCTCCTCCATCCATGGATCATCCAGGAAATCTACATACATCTCCTCCTGCCCTTTTCCCTGAAGCAGACCACTGCATTGCCTCAGATACTGACTCAGCAGTAATCGCTATGTGTGAAATTGCTGCAAACTCCACTGAACTTTATGGCTTTCAATCCTGCTTTTTTGTCCTTGGTCAACCATGTTAGCACTTCCCCTTAGTGAAATCCTATAAGCAAAGGGGGTCAAAAGGAGATGAATGTGTACAGTGCTTGTATGATACCTGAAGATGGTCTCTCCCTATTTCCCAAGTTTATACAGAGGGAAGGAATGCCCTGGTCATGCTTAAGGTGGGAGAAATAAATCTTTTTTTACACACCTGGCTGACACAGAGGGCTGAGGTACATAAGAATTACTGCACAGGATCAGACCAATAGTCCATCTGGTCTAGCATCCTTTCTTGAAGAGTAGCTGGTACCAGATGCTTCAGGGAAAGGTATTAGTCTCTCTAATGTATAACTGTATAATCACCTATCCGTAGAGCAGATTTCTTCCTAACTTTCATCACTGGTTGACTCTTGACATAAAACATAAAGGTTTATATCCTTATTTTTAATAATAATAATTTCAAGTAGCTCCTACAACGTGCAAGTCGCTGCACAGACATAAAGGAAGGAACAGAGTCTACCAAACAAATGGTAGGGGGAAATATGCAAGTAAAGTGGACAAAATGATTAACCACTTCTTAATGACAATATTAGACATATGGACAGTTTCCATTTATTCAAATTTTCCATTGTTAATCAGCGAGGTTTGGTGCATTTATATAGTTTGTGGCAATGAGCTCCACCAGCTAATTATGTATTGTGTAAAAATATTGCCTTTATCAGTTTTAAATTTGCTGCCTTTCAGATTTCCTTTAATTGACTCCTTTTTTCCTTGTATTATGAAACAGAATAGACAAGAGCACCTGATCTTCTCTGCACCACACATTATCTCTGTCAGGTCCCCTCGTATTCATTTCTTCTATAAACTAAAACATTTTAAATCTTTCCTCCAATGGGAATCTCTCCCTGCCTTTAATCATTCTCATCACCCACTTCTGGGCCCATTCTATATCTGTAATATCTTTTCTGACATGGGGTGACAAGAACTAAAAACAGCATTGTAGGGGAGGATTTATGATTTGTTTATATCATGGCATTAAAATAGTTTCACTTCTATTTTCCATCCATTCTATATACATCTTAACATTGTTTGCATTATTAACTGCCACTGAGCAGATGTCTTCATTGAACTGTTCACAATGATGTCCAGCTCTCTTCCTGAGAGGTTACATTAATTTAGAACCCAGCAATGTGTATGATTTTTTTCAAATCATTTATTCCAGCTTGCATTATCTGATATTTTTCAACATTGAATTTCATGTATCATACTGTTATCCAATCATCTAACTTGGTTAGGTCCCTTTGAAGTTCCTTGGTCTACTTTAGTTTTGACTAAAACCTAAATAATTTTAGCTGCAAATATTTCCACCTCATTGTTCACCTTCTTTTCCAAATCACTGATCAATACATAAACTCCACCAGTTCTAGTACACAACTTGGGAGCACCCCACTGTTAATTTCTTACAATGTTGAAAGTTGAACATTTATTCCTACATTTATTTTTTGTATTCTTAGTTTATAGTCCATAACCGCTCCCAGCCCCCACTTCCCCATGACTACTTAGTTTCCTTATTAGTCTCTCTGTCTTTCTTTAATAATCTCTCCCATCGGTGGTTGCACAGACTAAATTCAAGGCGTAGAAAAGACATCTTTGAACATTTGAACATGTGGTCTCCGTCTCCGGTGAAAAGTTTGGTGTGTTCAGGAGCTCAGTCTTTTGAAATCTTTTTTGCACCAGTGCCTCTTTCTCTCAGGTGCAGCGGGATAGTCTCAAAGAAAGTTTAATTCTCCACTTCCCTCAAATGCCCCATGAGAAATAGTGTTCTGTATGGGACTGATATTAGTTTAGCAAAACTTTGTTTAAAAAAAAAAAAAAAAGGCATTGGTCTGGTGGGACACATTTTTGGCTTTGGTCTCTAGTGTTTATTTTCCATTCTGTTGGCTAATTATTAAACTAAGTGAGTAATGAGGGCTCTGTCATCGTGGATGTTTCTTCTCATGCCTTAAAGAGATCTTGGGCAGCCAATTTTAAAAGTTAAGGAAAATATGCCTGCAGCTCTCAGATCACCAAGGTTTGCCAAAAGTCTCTGGTCTTCATGAGCTAAACCATGTGCTTTGGGAAATCGTATACTCAGCCAAACAGAAAGAACTGCCCCCATGTGCCTCTTGCCCAAAGAACCACATTGTAGTACCAGACTGGTTGGCTAGCCCTTCTCTAGGAGGTGTGCAGATATACACTGTGTCCCACACCTGCACAACCACACAAGCTCTTTCCTTCCCCAGCACTTACCCCCCACCCACACCAACAGACATTCTCCTTCCCCAGCACACATTTCATACTGGCAGAAATATACACTTGTCTTCCCAGTGCACACACTCATGGACTCCTCAGTTATGTCAGCACCCAGTGCCCTCCACTCATGTGCTGTACACTCAGTCTTGTCTCACCCTCACCCCCAAGAAATCAATCC